GGTGGACGAAAATCGATTCGAAAATGACAGTCGTTTTGCCATGGTTACGAACTACTTTCCTTAGCTAGACATATTGGCGCAGTTGTTTAAAAGTTCTGCTTCTAACTCCGGAAGTATCGGGTTCGAATCCACGAGGTCAATCTTTGTCTAATTGACGAATTCCAACATTAAGGAATTTATCACTCATAACTTCAAACAGAAGTTGCTCAGTCGGTAGAGCATCGAACTCAGAACCGATAGGTTCCGAGTTCAAGCTTCGGTCGGGGTCTCTGGCCCTTTTTCCTTCCCAGATTAATAAACAAGTACCACTTGTTTACAGGAGACAGAAGATTACGTGTTACACTTACCATGAGCTGTAGATTCTGCCTTAGAGAAGTAACGTACTCCTAGATGATGGCATAGAAAAAAATTGAGATCAGCACCGCACCATCAACTTTATGAAAAGAATGGCGTCAGAGTAGCCCAGTCATGAAAGTGAAAGAAGACAGACATTACAACGCTGACTAACAACTTTCCTTCAATAACTGAAACTTGTCGGATAGGTTTCTTTTGGCCTTTTAGCAAGGTTAAAACAGAGGCACCTGTACTCCGTGGCAGCTGTAAACACAAGCAGGAAAATCCCGCTAAAGACACAAATGTCTTGCTTTGTTGTGTTCTCTTGTGAAACAGTGTAATTGTATACAGTGCTCTCAGCCTGAGATTTGCATTAGGACTGTCGCAGGAAGAGCTCGGGTCACATAGACGAGGACGGTTGTTCGAACAGGTCGACCAACCATGAAACAGTTTAAGAACATCATCGAGAGGGATTACAGCTCGATGGCGCTCGATCTTAATGCCGTTCACGCTTTCTGAAAATGAAAGGGAAAGGAATGAAGGAAAGTTTGTAGCCCTTAGGATATCGCTTTTCTTTCCTGTTCCATTAACAGCAGTATATATAGTACAATTTTTTATGGATCGTATGCTGCAGCACTCTTCTCCATTCCTATGGCTTTAGTCACGAAGACTATACCATTTCTGTTTTTAAGGCTGTGTTTACAGTTAAGTAGTCATCGTCATGTGTAGCCTCCTGCTTCTTCCTCAAATAGTAATGTTCATCTGTGTACTTTATAAGGACGAACATCGAATTCGAACCAACGATCTTTCAACTGAGTCCTATTTTCTACTGATTGAGAGTAATACACTGACTGATAACGAGTAACTGGCTGAGGTATCGACGGATAATGCTGTCTTGAAACTTACCCGACTCCAAGTCGACTGAGCTTAACAGTTAAGGGTTCATCGTAAAGGTCTCTACGGTCAGCAGAAGATTATCATAAAGGAAAGTTACATCCATACGTGGTTTTAAACGCTAGCTATTTCCCGTTTGGAACCTGTATTCATGCGGTTTTTCTGATAGTAAGGGACTTACGCCAGACTCAGTTGCCTGGAATCTAAGGTGCTGCAGTGGAATGTTCCAATATATATATAGTAAGACTTGAATGGCAAAAGCAAGACATTTTAGAGTGATGTGATCTTCAGAAGTAGTTTCAAAGGGAGCAAGCAGCCATTTCGTCAATAATTTGTTGAAATAGTTTCATTTATAATTTAAGCAATTTAGAACAGATGTAAAAGTGCGAGGCGGATGTTGAGCAAGATCTTGTGGTCAAGATCAGCCGCTTTGCATCTCAATGATGAACCAACCATAAGATAGATCAAAATTGATCTAATTGTCCCCCACTTGACTAATGTGCGTTGATGGTATCAGGTTCATGGCCTGGATACGTGACAAGGTAAAAGATGTAATTAACGATTGAATGGCAGATTTGATTCGAAATGAGGAATAAAAGAAAAATTAAACGATGGCTAGGGAATTTGACGTTAGAGAAGAAAATGCTGCCGCGATGTTATCCTGTCTGAGTTGAAGAAGCTTTATTGTATGGCGATAATACGTTAAATCATTACGCTCGACTTGTACCTCAAATTCTTCTTTAAGTAACGTAAATGGCAATAGAAGCATGTACTTCGAGACAGTTCTTAACTCTGTGCAAAAATTGCAAGAGTCTTGATGAATGGGTTTACTTTTGAATCAACCCCAAATCATGAATAAAAATGTTCCAGATTTTTAGGAGTAATTTTCAATTCCAGGAGAATGTTCTCAAGCAGATTTCTATGCTTGTTTTGGACAGTTCTGTTAAGTGATACATCGGCATAAACGGCGATAAATTAGCTTTGGACTTTCCTCTCCATTTAAAATAACGTTTGTTTCAGAAATTGCGTCTCGGCGTCGCGTGAAATTACAAATGTATTTCGCTGTATAACTAATTTTTATGGTTTCCTTTTTGTAGATTGTCGATTGCATTTCATGCCTGAAGTAATAAGCCTGCCGATCGTAGCAGAGAAAGCCGTATCTGAACATATCAGTTCCGAGGAGAACAAGAAGCCGAAGCCTTGCTGTGCTTGTCCCGAAACCAGACGAGCTCGTGACGAGTGCATAATCGAGAAGGGACCGGATATGTGCGAAGCTCTGATTGAAGCCCACCGCAAATGCATGCGACAATTCGGTTTTGAAGTTTAATAAACTTCCCAGAAACTTTAAACATACTCTTAAAGTTGTTTCCCCCGTTCAGTGTGGTATGACGCTGCCGTTTGCGACGACGACCGTAAAAGCCGTCGCTGCGGATAACGCCATATCACAGCTGAAGGCTATTCGGGAGGAAGTGATAAAAGCGGACTTCGAGGTAAAGAAAAGCATTGGCGAGATCGAAGAGTTCGTGGGCCCGGACAGGAAGCTGAACGAGATATGTTGTCATGTCCGTGACAAAATCACGTACTTACAGCAACAGGTGCAGGACATGCAGGAGCTGCTAGAAGTCCTCAGTAGACGCAGAGACGAGGTTTCAGAATTCATGAACGCGGTCAAACACTATAAGCAGGAAACCGTCAATAACAACCGGCGACTACGGTCGGCAGTGCTGAATTGTGTCCAGAACCGCGAACGCCATGAACGACAGTTATTGCTCACTTCTTCTCCTTCACCACCAGGAGGCGATGACAGCGGCATCCGTCAGAGGCACATCGTCCGAGGTGATAGCGTCGACGACGACGACCATATTGCCAACACAAAGAAACTTAACCGGGGTCTTGAGGGTTTATTGACCCAAATGGACGCGGAAGTAAAGAAGAGCGAACAGGCATTAAACATGCTTCTTGGTTCGTCCGAAATGTTGTCCGACACGAATACCGAGTTCCAGACCATGGATGCTCACGTGAAGAAGTCCGGAAAGCTTTTATCGAAGTATCAGCGACGAGATCTGTCTGATCGCGTATTGTTTTACCTGTCATTTTTCATGTTTTTCGCCGTAGTGTTGTATATAATTCGAAAACGTTTTATTTCTATATTTTGGTAATAGATCGATTTTTTTCCCTGTACCAATGATTATGACTATTGATGAATAACAAATGTTTAATGGTACCCAAAATTTACGCGTGCTTGAAATCAAAGGAATTAAAGTGTTTTAAATGCAAATCATGATGATGGTGACAAT